GGGTTGTGGGGGGCGGGACGGGGAAGAAGAAAAAGAAGAAGAAGAATTAGTTGGGTGGTGGTGTACGATGGATGAATGAGGTGTATGTTGCTGTATCGGTTGTGCTTTTGGGATGGGGAGACCATGCTTGTATTGCTCAGATCGGTTGTTCAATCTACGCGATCTTCGATATTAGGCTCTCTCGCTCCTGTCGCGCTCAAACGCGCTGAACGTTTGCTTGCTTCACCATCCGTCCTACACCATGCCTCAGTCGACTTCTCCGCTGCACATGCACAACGCACGCTCCTGGCTATGCGCCGGTTCTTCTCAGTACCGCACTTGCTTCTACACTCTTGGCAAGCTCGTGCATCGTTTCATCCAACGTACTTGAAGGCACGGGGTTGACCGGGCGCACGGCCAAGTCGGCCAGTAGAAGCTCTCGAGCGCACGATGCTGTGCCGTCTCAAGCCCAAGCCCGCGAAAATATGAGGTCAGCGGAGAATTCGCCACAGCAAAGGCCACCGCGCGCAGCACCAGAGTCCAAGCGCTGCGCATTTGAGCGCTTGAGCTTGAGCTTGAGCTCCTGTCCTGGCGCTCTTGGATGTGACTGGAACATAGATATCACCACGTCAGGCTTCGGCACGATACCTGAAGCGCGCAAGTTGTGTCCGAGCGCTCCTGATAGCCCCATAGCATATAGCACTGCGACGACATTTATGATGCTCCAGTCATACTTCTGGCAATGAGCCTCATAGCGCTTGAGCGACCGTATAAGCCACCGAAGTAGTAAATATAGCTGAATTTGTCGCTCCAGCTCCAAGCGACGGGTTTAACGGCCCGATCGAGATGGTACGTTGCAGGCGCCCGCCGCGGAGTCGTAGCCGCTGACCTCTCATCCACCTCTTCGGGTCGCAAGAGCTCTACTTCTATCCACAGCAAGATATGTCATCCCTGTGTCCAAAAAGCGGTGAAGTCGCGAAGAGAAAGAGGAGGCTATGTTCAGAGAAGGCACTAAGCGCCTATATATGATACCCACGTGGTGCGGGTCTGACGTCGGTCTCGGCTCTAAATAGGGCTCGCAGCTCAAAAGATGGGCGGACACGAACCGTTGACTCTGTTTCCACACACCCATTATACCCCCTCTCCCCTATATTCTATACTATCATGCCCTCGCAGCGGGTGATGGAGCTCTGCAACGCGGACGAGACGGTGACGCGCGCGCAGGCGGAGCGGCCGACGACGCCCGTGAAGCACACCCGGAAACGACTGTTCGGGAGCGGGAAGCCGGGCGCGAAGGCGGAGCAGGCGAAGGAGAAGGGGGAGGAGAAGGAGGAGGACGTGCTGAGGAGCGCGGAGCGGTGCGGCAAGTTCCCGTACACGCCGTCTGAGCTGTTCTTGAAGGTGAATGATATATTCATACGCGTGTAAGCTCGGCTCTAATTTAATGGGCAGGTGTACAACGACGCGCTGGGTGCGCTAGACGCGGACCCTTTGTCGAACATGGTGTCGCCGAGCCTGTCCGGCTCGTCGGGCGTCATCCCGCTCTCGATCGTCTCGGTCATCCCCGACATCATGCGGCACTACGCGGACCTCATCGTGCGCGCCGAGACCGAGGTCTTCCTCGCGACGAACTACTGGGAGCCCAGCCACTCGTCCACCATCATCTCCGACTCTCTGCGCGAGCTCTCCAAGCGCGTGGCCAAGCGTAATGGTGAAAAGGTCGTGGTGAAGCTCATGTACGACCGCGGCTCGCTCTCGCAGCTGCGCAACAACCACGTCTACGTCCTCCCCAAAGACTGGAAAGCCGTGAACCTGCCCACGGAGGACGAGCTCCCCGGCGTCGCATTGGAAGTGGTCAACTTCCACCGGCCCGCGCTCGGCACGTTCCACGCCAAGTACCTCATCGTCGACCGCAAGGTCGCGTGCATCAACTCGAACAATATCCAGGACAGGCCGAACGTGGAGATGATGGTGCACCTCGAGGGACCCATTGTGGACTCGTTCTACGATATGGCATTGCTGAGCTGGAGCAATGCGATGAACCCGCCGCTGCCGCTGTTGGGCCATGAGACGGTGTATCCCGAGGAGTACAAGTTTAATCATGAGAACGGGCACTTGAAGTGTACGCCCCCCTCCCCTCCCTCTCTATTCTACACTCAATAACTAACTAACGTATGGTGAACAGACATCAACCAAGAAGCCACGTCCAAAGCGACGCGCGAATACCTCAAAAAGCAACACACGCTCAACGAGGCCGAGATGGAAGACCTGCTCCCCTGGGCGCGGCGCTTCACTTTGGGCCCGCACAACACCAATACCGACGGCGAACAGATCGACGCGGAGACGGCGGACAGGCAGCGCAAGAAGTTTTTGGCGGAGCATCCGAATATGATGGTGCCCCATGCGAGCGCTACGAATATGGATGCGGTCGAGGAGGGCGAGGAGGGGAGAGGGGGTGGGTCTCCTAGCTCTGGGTCGGGGAGTGGGTCGACGAGCAGTGAGTCGGGCACTGCGACGCCGACGGGATCTGCGGGCGAGAGGGACGGCGAGGTCGTCGCGAACGGGCTTGGGAACGCGAACGGGCACGGGAACGGCGTAGAAGCGGAGAAGCCCGCCGCAGGCCCGTCAAACGGAAGCGCGCACACCGCCGGCGACGCCACGCCCCTAGCAGAAGAGCCCAAGCCCCTCGCCGACGAGCCCAAGCCCCTCTCCGCCGACCCCTCACCTCTCGACCCGCACGACTCCCCCTCCGACGCCGCCGCGGAGCCCGGCACGAACCCGCACGCGATCGACTCCCACACCGCCTCCACGACCGCCTCCATCGCGCGCGCGCACCGCCCGCACTCGCACTCCGTCTCCTCGTCCTCCGTCACGGCCGCGGACGTCGCCAAGCGGCTCAACATCGGCAAGGTCCAGCTCGACGCGACGGTCGAGGACGCGGGCGTCGCGGACTTCCAGCCGTATATACTCCATAGGGCGCACGCGCCGTGTCCGATTGCGATGGTGAACCGCAAGCCGAGCGGTAAGCCGGGCCATCGGGCGGATAATCCGCAGGATCTGGCGTGGTTGAGCGCGGTGAGGAATGCGCGGAAGAGTATTTTTGTGTGCGTTTTTCTTTGTTTTGGAGGAGTGAAGGGGGCTGATGAGGGTGTAGGCAGACGCCGACGTTTAATGCGGCGCCGCTGATACCCGCTACACTCGACGCGTGCAGGCGCGGCGTGGAAGTGACGCTCTTCCTCGACCTCGGTGCGCACCACTCCATTCATACCTCAATTCATGCACAACTAATATTCACCATCATCAGGCTTCAACGACCAAGGCGAGCAAATCCCCTTCCAGGGCGGCACGAACGAGATGGTCGTGCACCGGATGTACCGCAAGCTGAACGCCGAGAAGCGCGGGCACGAGAAGAATCTGAAGGTGTATTGGTACACGGGCAAAGACCAGCATCGGCCGATCAGCGCGGCGGCGAAGAAGAGGAACTGTCATGTGAAGTTTATGGCCGTCGACGACCAGATCGGTGCGCCCTACTCCTCATTGATTGAATGTGACAAAGGGATGGGAGAGGCTGATATGGTGTGTGCGCAGCGATATTCGGCAACGGGAACCAAGACACCCAGTCCTGGTTCCACAGCATGGAAATAAACGTCCTCGTCGACTCGCCGCCCCTAGTCCGCGAATGGCTCGCGGGCATCAGCGCGAACCAGAACACGGCGATGTACGGGCGCGTGAGCGACGCCGACGGGATATGGCGCGACGGCGACGAGGTGCTGCAGGCGAGCGGGGTGAAGCCCGCGAGCGTGGTCACGTGGGGGAAGAGCATCGCCGGTGTGTTTAGGCGGCTTCGTGGGAGCGGCGGGTTCTGAGAATTTGTGTTGGTGTAGGGGCTACGGAGAAGTTCTTTTCGCCGGGGCAGGGGCCTGCGAAGTGAAGATGCGGTGGTGCTGTTGTGTGGTGACGATCCTTATGCTCCCCTCCCTCTCTGATGCTTACTTTATTTTCTCTCTCTCTCTCCTTGGTGCTCTCCTCGGACCGTTTCCTGCTGTCATATACCTCGCCCAGAACACTCTCATTATGCATGCACGCGCCACCCCAACTCTCCCGAACCTGAATCGAATAGTACTTTACGCCTGCTCTTTCTTCGGATTATTATCTCTGCTGCGTTGTTTGTATATGGAACTCCTCTGTCTAATTGCTCGCTCCTTACGATTGCTTTACGAATCTTATTTATCGTTGCATTCACGACCTTCTCGCTGCAGAGGCAGTGGATGGAGATGCGGGGTAAGGTTCGGGTCTTCGGCCCGACCGAGTGTTGTGGCGCGAACACGCTTTATCCACCTCCCTCTTTCCCTTTCACCATGAGCACATGTTGTAGCCAAGCGCCCATAAAGCGCCCATCCCCGCACCACCCAACCCCGTAAACACCCACCCCCATGCCGAAAATCACAGACGAACCCCGCCTAATCCGCATCATCCACCGCACGCTCACCTCGCCCAAACTCCCCGGCGAGCTCGTCTGCTACGCCGGCACATCGCAGTACGCGTCGCGCGGCGCAGGATCGGCGGCGTGCGGGCTCGCGGCGGCGAGTTATGCGCGGGTCGCGTTTGAGCTGGATCAGAATCGGATATCGGGTGAGAGTGATTCGAGCGAGTTTTTGAGGCGCGTTTTGGGGAGGGCGAGCGTTGAGGTAAGTGGGGTGTACTGTTTGAGGGGTGGATGATGCTGATTGGATGTGGAGGAGGCTGTGGGGATATGCGAGCGATGGGCGGGCGACGCGCACATGGAGGTCGAGGATATACTCGCCATGCCGATTCTCGACCGGGCGATGCGGGTCGCGTCGACGAGGTACGGACAGCCGGGGCTCGACGACTTCAGATCCGTGCTCACGTGCGTACCATTATCCTATCCCCAGATTTGATACTCATGCTTTATTACTACTAGTGAGATGGTTGAGATCAAAGGCTCGGCAGCAGCGATCATAACCCGCCCGCCCGAGATCCTCGCCGTCCTCAAACTATCCCTCACGCCCACCCTGAACACGTTTATAATCTTCGACTCGCACCCGCGCCCGCGCTACCCCACCGGCACAGGCCTCCTGATCTTCGCCTCCCCCGAAGGCGCCGCGCGCGCTCTAACAGACCTCTTCCCAACGGTCGACCTGAATCTACCCGAGGGCGATCTACAATGGCAGGCCCAGCTCCTGTCGAACTACTCCGCGCACATTCTCGTTCCTCGCCCGGTGTTCGATGGTGATGGAGGGAGGGAGAGGTGGAAGGATGTGGCGATGGACGCGAGTCTGGAGGTGCTGGCGTTGAGGGAGCGCGTGAGGGGGCTGGAGAGGGTGAGGGGGGAGAATGAGAGGCTGGGGAGGAGGGTGGACGAGCTTGAGGGGTTGTTGAGGCGCGAGAGGGCAAAGGGGAAGAGGGCCGAGGGGAGTGAGCGGTACGCGCCGTATGGAAAGGAGGGCGCCGCGCCTGGCGCCCTTCGCGCCACAGCGTCGAACGCGAGCGGCTCGGGCGCAGCGCCTCAAGACGCCAAACAACCGTCCACTACCAAAACTGCTACGCCCACAGACGACTCCGACGCCGCCTTCAACCACGCCCTCGCCCTCCAACAAACCTACGACACCGAGCACGCCCGCCTCGCGCACCAACTCGCCGCCCTGACCCAAACGGCCCAGCGCACCTTCCGCTGCGAAGTCTGCTTCGACGAGCTGCCCGAGGACGTCGTGATGCGCGTCGAGGGGTGCGGGCACGGCTTTTGCAGGGAGTGCGTGCGCGGGCATGTGCTGAGTCGGCTGGGGGAGCATCGGTGGCCGATTTTGTGTCCGGTTTGTGCGGCGGGGAGGGAGGATGGGAAGAAGCCTTGCGGTAAGTGCAATCGTCTTTTGAGAGGGAAGTAGGTGCTGATGGGGTTGGTGGTGCAGTTATTACGGAGGAGCTTATACACTTCGTCGAGCTCACACCCGACCAATTCAACACCTACACCGAAATGCAGCTCTCCCAGTTCTCAACACTGCTCCACTGCCGCAAGTGCGTCCTCCACCTCCCTGCTCCCAATAGCGCTACCAGGCTAACACATTCGCTTCACACTCACAGATGCAAACAATCCGCCTGGGTAGACAAGCAAGACGTCTCCGAAGCCGCCATCCTCGTCTGCCCGCTCCAAGGCTGCGGATACGCGTACTGCAAGGACTGCTCGCAGGCCGTGCAGATCGACGGAATGAAGCATAGCTGCGATGGGAGCGCGGAGCTGGAGGCGCTTATGCGGGAGCGGGGGTGGAAGTATTGTCCTGGTGCGTCTTTACTCGCGGTGTTGTGTATATGGGGGTGGAGGGAGAGGCTGATGGTATTACAGCGTGTAAGACGCCGATTCAGAAGGACTCGGGGTGTAACCATATGAC